CCTCAAGAGTAGATGGTTCTGTAAGAGAAGAATCAGTGTTGATTGATGATGATGTGAGGACCCTTAGTTTAAAAATACCTGCCTTGGATCTTGTGATCATATGGTGAGAACCTGCAGCATGGTTAGAGGTAGTACATTGCTCTAAAGGTAAATCTATGTAAATTTGCCCAACAGGAATAAAAGAGGTAGAAGATGGATTAGAATGAGAAGTAGAGGGGGTAGAAGAATAATGTCTGTGAGTAGAAGATGTTTGAGTATGAACAATGGGTGTGGTGGGTGGTGAATTGTGGTTGGAGTGTATAACATGCCCAGATGACTGAGGTGAATTTGGAACAGAAGGATAATCAGAAGGAGGATCATTTTGTGGAGTGATAAATGAAGCAGGAACAAAAGAATAAGAAGAAGATGGATTAGTTTGAGTTGGAGGTGCATCTGTAGGAGTAGTTGCAAGGGGGAAAGTATGTTCATCAAAAATGACATGTCTGGAAATTATAATTCTCTTGTCATGAAACAATACCTTATAACCTTTGTGATGTGGAATATAACCTATGAAAACTGAATGAAGGCTCTTTGGTTGAAGTTAGTGTTTGTTATATGGCTTAAGCAAAGGGTAGCACAGGCAACCCAATTTTTCTAACTGATGATATGGAGGTTCTTGGTGATGCAAGGATTGAAAAGGTGAGAGGTAGTTCAAGATTTTATTGGGAGTTCTATTGATACGATAAACACCACTGGAAAAAGCCTCATCCCAAAAGGAAAATGGTAATTTGGACTGAAAAAGAAGAGAAAGTCCTACTTGAACTACATGCCTATGCTACCTCTCAGCTAAACCATTCTGCTCAAGTGTGTAGGGGCATGAAATGTGTGAAGTGATCCCTTTTTGAGCAAAAACAGGTTTAAGGGCTAGAAATTCCCCTCCTCCATCACATTGAAAGGTTTTTATGCTATAACCAAATTGATTCTGAATCAAAGCAGTAAATGAAGGAAGGCTGAGATGGTGTCTGATTTAGATTTTAACAGATAAAACCAAACAAAATGAGTACTGTGATCAATAAAACTAACATAGTATTTGAAACCTTTGCGAGAAGTGACAGGTGCAGGACCTCATAAGTCTGAATGGACAAGATCAAAGGGCTTGCAGTCTTTGAATTCAAAATTATGAAAGGGAAGCTTATGAAATTTGGACTACATGCATACATCACACAAAACATCAGCTTTCTCATCAATAAAAGGGATATTGTAATTGTTCAAAGCAGCCTTAACAATGTTATATGAGGCATGACCAAGTCTTTTGTGCAAAACATCTAAACCAACAACATTTTTAGAGTCAATAGAATTAAAAATAGACTGCATGCAAGCAGGTGAAGACACAAGGTTTGAACAAGGGGAAAGATCTTTATTTTTAACAAGCTTGAAGCAATAAAGACCATCCTTAACAGAACAAAAATCATGATGAAACTCAAAGAAAACTGCATTATCTTTAGCAAACTGGGAGACACTGATGAGGTTCTTTGTAATGTGTGGGACATGCATGGGATTATTAAGGAGAAAAGTATAAGGATTACTAGAATGAGGGCATTTTAACATAGATTGACCAAAATGAGCAATATCCATACCTGCACCATTAGCTGTCTGCACTCTCTCAGAACCACTATAATCACTTGCAAGGTTAAGATTGTTCACGTCATTGGTAAGATGGTGTGTTGCTCCTGAGTCAGGATACCAGTAGAAATCTTGTGATGTCTCATTGTTTTGTGAGCCATAGCTAGCTACATGAGCTGAGGGATAACTTTGAACTGAAAAGAAGCTACTATCACTTGCATTCCCTGAGCTGTTTGAAGGAGATTGGTTGCTTGGACTCCTTGAGACAAAGTTGGAGTCAAACCTATAGTAGAATTCCTTTGCAGTATGGTTATTGTAATTGCAGATTTGACACCTTGGCCAGTTTTGGTAGAATCTTCCTCCTCTACCACGGTTAAAACCACTCCTGCCTGAGCCTCTCCCTCTATTACCAAATTGATTTCCAAACTCCTCGGTTATTAGAGAAGCCTCTTCCTCTAGATTGAGGATAGGTGGCAAGATTGGCACCTAGATAAGATCCATTTGGCTCAGCAACAGTCTCCACACTTTCCAATCTATTTTCAAAGATGAGCAATATGGCATAAGCCTCCATCATTGTGCACTTTTCTGTTCTAGAGGTGAGGTTTACTAGCACAGGATTATATTCTTGGGCCAAACCAAATAGGAGATGAAGAACCTGGTCATGTTCTTCCATCTTTTGGCCAACAGCAGCTAGCATGTCACAGATCCCCTTTATCTTGTTGTAATATTTTCTGATCTTGAGACTCTCTTTCTTTAGGGTTTGAAGCTCTAACTTCAGCTGCATCTGTTTTGCCAAGCTGTGACTTACAAAACCCTTCTTTAAACAATCCCATATCTCTTTTGTTGTGTTGAGTCCAACAGTGGTGACCAAGATGCTATGAGCTCGTCTTGCTTGACCTAGTTGATATATGATTTGTTGACAATGAGCTCATTGGTTGATGCATCTCGAGTGAGCTTATCAGGTGCAGGAGTTTCTCCATTCAAGAAGCCAATCAAATCATAACCTCGAACTGTTGTCAGGATTTGTTGTTCCCATATCAAGAAATTACTTTCATTTAATTTGGTGGTAATAAGCTGGTTCTGCAAATGGATGAGAGGCTCACATGGCTGAGTGGTTAGAGCCATGTGAAGGCAATAAATGTTAACCAGGAACAAAGGTAATCAGAGTCTAGCTCTGATACCATAAAAGGAAACGAGCAAGCTCATGCAAGAAAGAAAAGATACAGAAGACATGAAAATAGAAAGAAGCTTTTTCATTTTTCAATGCAATGACATTACCGAATGATTCCTCAGATATGGTTTTCTCATTTTATTCTCCAATACAATCACTCATGTTGTGGCTAAACTCAACATATATCTTAATCTAAGGGACACGTGTAGGGCTCATATCGGCTAGGGTTACTGTATTGACATGCACTTTGTTTTTCCACGTCTGATGTCTTTTTGTGCTACAGGAGCCAATCAGTTCTCTTCAACGTGAGTGACATGGCAGAAATGAGAAGCTCTTTTAACAATTTGTACTAGTAATAATTATTTCAATAAAGAAAAATATTAGTATTATGAAAATAATCATGCCTAGCTAGTTGACAATATATTGACATGGCACATAAGCCTAATTTTGTATCAATCTAAAGTATAAAACTATGACTAATAGGATCACAAGGCATGCAAGTCTGCCACTTAAAGTTAGGGCTGCAAACGAACCGAGCGGCTCACGAGCGCTCGAGTCAAAGCTCGACTCGAACGGCTCAAACATGAACTGAGTCGAGCTCGAACCCATATTTTGCATTGTTGAGCGGCTCGAGATATATGTTGAATTACTAAAATACCATTTATATATATATTACAATAGTATAACATCAGTGTTTAATGGTAATTTTATTTTTTCACTTAAAAATTTTTGAGCAGAGTTCGACCATTTTAATTTCGAGTCAAGCTCGAGCCGAGCTATAGAATTGTACCTTTTATCGATTCGGGCTCGAGCCTCATAAATCGAACTCGAACAACTAAAATAACTAATCCTGTTCGATAAGGCCAATGCTCGGCTCGTCTGCAGCCCTAGTTAGAACATTCACAAATTACATATATCGCATGTAAAGGAACTTATGTCCTGAATGACATAGACAAACCCGAAAAAAAAAACACCCTAAAAGTTTCGGTGCAAAAATAAAATACTGGGTCTAGAATACCTGTCAACCAATAAAAATGCTCTAATATGTTTCTTTATTAAAAAAAAAATTAAATTAGGAATAAATGTTGACGTACTGTTCAGGTTTGGACTTGGGTCCAAAATCAACTCAAGATTAGACTTGATCTCCATTTTTTTATTGTCACATAAGAGCATCCACAATGCTTTAGGTTCAATCAAAAAAATTTGAATGCCACCTCGGAAATAGACTCAGTCTAAAAAAATATGTTCTCCAATGCAAGTGTAAGTGGACTAGGTCTTGTTGATGTGGCAGCAAGAAAAAGAGACTCGGTCTAACCTTAAGTCCAATTTAGACCCAAGTAGAGACCTAGTCTCCTTGCATTGGAGTAGATTTTGTATATTTTATATATTTTTGTCCATGTCATCCAAGACTTAGGTTCATTTACATTCCACATATACAAATGACTCTACTTTTGTCTATGTGACATGTAAATAAACCAAAGTTAGATGACATTGATAAAACTATATAAAAAGTAACAAAATTTACTCAAATGCAAAGAGACTAGGCTTCTATTTGAGTCTAAAATAGACTTAAAAGAGACCGTGTTTCTTTTTTATGTTGCCACATAAGCAGGACCCAGTCCAATTGCACTTGCACTGGAGAATATATATTTTCTAAACTATGTCTATTTAACGTGGCATATACATTTTTTTTTATTGAACCAAAATCATTGTAAATGCTTACATTATGTTCACTTTTAATTGCATTAGAAAATATTTTTTTTATAGATTATGTTTATTTCCGACATGACCTATGATATTTTTTTTAGAAGACCTAATGTATTGCGGGTATTCTTAAGCTCATCACATTCGGAAGAGGGATTCATCGATCCTTGCTAATATTGAAACAAAATGAAGATAGGGCAACCGTATGAAAGGAGGACACATACATATATGCAATCGAAATTAAATAAATAAACACTAGCCAAAAAGTAATAAAATACACAATTAGGTAGTTACACAATAAATTCGAACATCGCCTTAAAAAATTCAACTTGGCAACGTTTCTTGCTCACCGCTAGCTGTCTCTCTCTCTATATAATTTTTTTTTATTCTGCCTTTTCATTTATATATATATACCAATTCAAGTTTTTAAATCACTTATAAATTTAAATTAAAAAAAAAAATTATATATCACACTAACTCAAAAGACAACAGTTAGAAAAAGCAGAAGTAATTATATCTACCAATGGCGAACAAGCACACAACCACCACCGACATTATCCACCGTCTTATGGTGGCCGCTGTCCTAGCTGTGGCCCTGCCGGGCGCGGCGGCTCAGTCCCCGGCGTTGGCTCCGGGGATGCCGGACGCGGCGGCTCCTTCCCCGGGGCTCGACTGCTTCACTTACCTAGTAAACCTTTCGGATTGCCTGACGTTCGTGGAGGGAGGGAGCAACCTGACCCGGCCCGACCCGGGGTGCTGCTCGGAGCTGGCCAACTTGGTGGACACTCAGCCGATCTGCCTGTGTCAGCTGCTGGGGAACCCGGATCAGGTCGGCTTCCCGGTTGACGTCAGCAGGGCCCTTAGGCTGCCCTCCGTTTGCAATGTCACCACCCCTCCGGTTAGCCTCTGTGCGGGTACGTGCAATTAGTTAGTTAGAGAAAATTGTAATTGTAGTCCATAACTTAGGTTGTTTCCCATTTTAGTCCACTAACTTAGGTCGATCCAAATTTAGTCCAAAAACTCCTAAAATTTAGTTAAATCATTCCAATTGGACTAAAATTGGACTAAAATTAGACTGAAATTGACCAATCAATTGGACTGAAATTGGACTGATTTAACTAACTTTTGAGAGTTTTTGGACCAAATTTAGATCGGCCTAAGTTAGTGGACTAAAATGGGAAACAGCCTAAGTTTTTGGACTAACTTTTGAGAGTTTTTTGACCAAATTTGGATCGGCCTAAGTTAGTGGACTAAAATGGGAAACAGTCTAAGTTACTGGACTAAAATTGCAATTTTCTCAATTAGTTATTTGCTACCTACTTTTTCGCCTTCTAATTTTCTTGTCCTGTTATGACTTATAATTGATTTTTGGAACTAAGCATATGAATTTTAAACGAAATTTAAAACAAAATTAAGAAAAAAATAAATTATTTATAAGTTGTGATTGTATTTATTATTATTAATTTTTTTTAAGGAAATCTCATTTCATTCGAAAATAGAGATGAAAAAGAAAATTGAAGTTGTGATTAAATAGAAGATAAAAAATTAATTAGTGAGTGAAATTGATATGATTTTTTAATAATAATAAATACAATCACAACTCATTCAAATAAACACTTAAAAATTAGTGATTAAACTTTTGATTTGTTTTATTTATTTATTTATGATTCTTGTAAGCTGATTCAATGATTTTTAAGTGTTTACTTGACTTGTCGAAGTTTATGTTTTTTGTTCTTTTTATTTCATTTTATTTTTGTATCACTTGGATACAAAATTTTCTATTATTCAAGTTTTAAAATTTTTAACTTTCTTTATCATTTATCCTCTCTCATCTTATTCAACACTGCTTGCATTAAATTTGTGGTCCAAAGAAAAAAAATGTGGTATGTGGACACATGCTCCTCTTATCTTTTTTTTTTTCGAGACGATAAAAAATTTTATAGATCAAAACGCACAAATGTGCAAAGATAAATGTCTTGCTGACTGAATTTATGGGTATGGACTACCGTGGCTAACCAACCTATATTAAATTCCATTCCAATATATTTATGATTTTGAAACTATTAATTTGTCTTTAAAATAAATTAGTAGTCAATCATGTGAATATGTACAAGTATAAATAAAAGATACATAAGTCATACATATGGATATTAT